AGCACATAACATGACAGTAACTTTATTAAAGAGACTAGCATGTTATATGACAATAACTTTACTCAAGAGATTAACACGTAACATGACAATAACTTTATTAAAGAGACTAGCACATAACGTGACAATAACTTTGTTCAAGAGACTAGCACATAACGTGACACTAACTTTGTTCAAGAGACTAGCACATAACATGACAATAACTTTGTTCAAGAGACTAGCACATAACATGACAATAACTTGATTAAAGAGACTAACATATAACACGACAATAACTCCACTAATTTCAAGATTGAAGACATCTATTTAAAAAAAAGAAACTAAACTAAAAATAGATTATTCATGGTAAAGTTTTTTATGAGTGGAGTCCATATGTCATTAAGTTCAATTTTACCTTTGTTTTTATTTAGGGCTTTATTAGAGCCACTTCCATGTGTTTCAGTCCAAATTGATCCCTTGGAGCCTCTGTATTGGTGATCACTGTTTCATCCAAGTATTTCAATGTTTCTCCACATAGTACTGTAACTATTGGAATAAGCATTTTCGGGCACAGTGGATTTCTTATTATGCTACAGGCTTGTAGCATTTTGGTGTTGTTTTTTTAAGGCATTTGTAATATACTCAAGCCTGCATGCTGTATGTGATGCCACAGAACTTGTTTCCTATATAAATTACCATTTTCTCATCAAACCTATTTTAATGTTGAATAAGCTAAATATTCTCCATTACTTTCCATCTAATCTTTGTATGTAAGGTTGAGTAGTGAACACCATTTGTGTTTTTGAATTATTAGTTGGATATATAGGATCTCAGTTGCTTCTAGCTTCTTGTACACAGGGAATCCATTTATTTGCTGTTTTTATGGCCTTTATGTAGCATATGTATTAATTTTTAATATCTTTTGTAATGATTTTAAATCTTCATCTAAATATTTGTGGCATTGGTTCATTTGGTTCTGTCCCTAAGAATTTTAATCTTTCTTATTTTAAATGATTCTGGCTAGCAGAAAGAATGGCGTAGGTAAGAGTTAGTATGGATAAGTTTTTTTTTCTGGAAATTTTTATGCCCACACCATATCTTTTTTTTTAAAATCAAACCATTCAAGAAGGATAGTTGGCAATATATATTATAAACCTGCATGTGGCTCAGGAAGAAATTGTGATTCTCTGATGGTATGTTTTGTATACTTGGAACAAATGTGGATATGCATCTAGGACAAAATTGTTCAATAAAAATCAATATACTTTATGATATAAGTATCCATTGCATTAACTTACTCAAACTATGTTTTAGTTACACCCAGAACACTTGGTAGTTTAAACTTATTATTGATCTCTAATAACCGGCATCTTCCAGTGGCCAAATGGTAAATTTATGGGCTCACAGTGCTAAAATTCAAAGTTCGATTCCCCCATGTTGGACAGGGACCAGATAGCCTATTGTTGTAGATGTGCTCTGAAATAAGCAAATCAAAATCAACATATTACTTGCTTAAAGTTTTAAGATTATCTAAGATATTGCTGCATTTAGCAACATCCATTTTTTTTGTAGGAGAGTTTCAAGGTTAAGTGCAGGAAGAAACTGAAGAAAAGAAAGATGCAAGATAGAGCCTCTGGCTTATCAATAGTAGACCTTCAAGAGCTCACTGAGAGACATGCTGGGATACTTGGCTTGTGTGCATGTGTGAATGCTTATCCGTATGATGTTCCAGAGTTCCTACCTGATGTGCTGGTTATGTTAGGAGATCACCTAAATGATCCTCAGCCAATTCCTGTAAGTCATTATTTCTGACACAGACATAAAAAATATTAGCAGCAAAAATATTTGATTGAATCTGTTGGTTGTAAATTTTGTTTATCCATATTTTCTAGCTGTGGTTTAATTTTATAAAGATTTTAAGGAATTGCATTTCATTCTTATCTTTATTGTATGATCTAAAGTATTGTTTACAATAGTTTGAATGAAGTAAGTAAACTTATAGATGTATTTTGTCATTGGCATCGTGTACTAGAATATAATTTTTAACTTTTTTAATGAATCATTGTGTATTACAAGATAATTCAGAATTGTTAATTTAAAAAAGGGGAATAGGGATCTTCAAAAATGTACAAAAACAAGTTGAATCAAAATGCAAAGATTATATATTCAAGCCTACAACTAGGGACTTAAAAAAGTAAACAAACTAGGCTAGAAATAGTGTCTACATTATTTCCTCAAGATATAAATCCATATTTTGACGCTACTAAAATTGACAAGTACTGTAGACATGGAATAAAATTGGGATTTATAGCTTTTACAACATTTGTGTGAAAAATATAAACATGTGTGTATTAGTTGCCTTCCTTAATATTAAATTAGTAATAGGCTTGATTTCACATTTTATATCCTTGTAATAAAAGGAAAACAAATGTATAAATGATAGAATTATCTTAACGTTTTGTCTCTGAATTATTTGTTTGTCTTTTTTGTTTCAGTCTACAATCAAGAAGACGCTTTCCAATTTCCGCCGCACACATCATGACAGCTGGCGAGATCATAAATTAAAATTTACTGATGATCAGCTAGCTGTTATTACAGATCTTTTGGTTTCACCAAGCTATTATGCTTAATATCAGGTGCTAGATAAAGGATGAAGAGATGGAAACAAAAAGTTATCTGATACTGTAAAGATAGCTTATTCTAAATGCTCTTAAAGAAGAAATTTATAATAATTTGTTTTCAAAAAGAGCTTGAGATAGAGCTTGGAGATGTTTTGTATGAAACTTATTGATATATGATACTTTATAAAAGTTATTAAAAAGTGAGAAAAGAAAATGTTAATGTATCAGTTCCTTAACTGCCATTAAATAAGCTGGACTTCAGCCACATAGGTTTATGATTTTGTAGTGAAGTGAAATTTTTAATATTTAAAATGGTAAAGCTGTCCTTTTATGAACAAAGTTTGACAAATACATAAAACGACTTGACGAACTCTACAATCTGAAATATATATTTGTGAGGTTGAAAGTTTGCTCAAACTTCACGTAGTTTATAAGGAAACTTACAAACCAAACACAAAGTCTAATATCTAATTTAATAATCAGTCTTTTATTCCAAGACAAAACCTAAACTATAGTTTATAGTTTGATAAGGAATAATGTTATTACCTTGTAAAAAAAAACAAGCCATAAACAGTAGTTTTTGTTGTTATTTAAGGCTATTAGTTTTGAATCCAAATCTTTAAATTTAAATTTATCCATGAAATCTTACTGTTTTAAAAAAGATCACACACTGTACTTTCAGTCTCAATATTCAGTTTTATTATAAAGTGTCTTCAACAAAAAAAAAGTAACAATCAATTTTTTAATGTACCAATATCCAGTTGCAATTAGCAAATAGTAGCTAATCATCTTCTAATGATTTTCTGAATTAAAAAAAATTAACATAACAATACTTTATTTTTTTAACCAGTATTTTTTCATGTTTAATTGCATATGTGTATTTCAGCACTTTTTAGTGATCTTCGTCGTTAGAAAGAAATATTTAATTCAGTTTTCAAGCAAATACTGCTAGGTTGTGTGTAAAACAAGTATACAAATCAGTGTTACATGTTTTTTTACTTCACATATTTTCTAATCTTAATTTTTAACACATACTGAGCAACATATAAATGGATTTTAATAGATGTTTTGGCAAAAACAGCCATCACAGGAAAATAAATTGTAGAATCCATTTCTCTGATGTATATGGTTGTAATGTGACCTAAGTTCAGGTATGGATTACATAGAAGAGTATTAATTTGTTATCTAGATTGAAGTTTTTATTTTCTCAAGACCCCCCCCCCCCCCTTCAGTAGCTCATTGGTAAGCTAAGGAGCTTTTAATGAACATGTTCAGGGTATGATCCCTCACAGTGAGCACAGCACAAATTGCCCATTGTGTAGCTTTGTGCTTAACAACAAAGTGGCACTTATATTGTTTTTTCTCAAGCTTCTTGGTTTTTTTTGTTCTTTCTATTCTTTGAGTGGCTAATGTTTTAAAAACTGATATAATTCTCAATGAACCTGTGCTTCAAATGTTTATATATTACTGTAATGAGGAATATAAATATCCACTGCATTTCTCATACCTTTTTTTTTGTTGTAAGAACATTTGCTGATAAAATTGAAAATATCGTATCTGGTATTACCATTAAATCGGGAGAGTAAAATAGTGTTTGTTCAATAATGGGTAAATGAAAATAAACCAGACGTTCAATTTGGTAGAAAGTGAGTGATGTTGTAGTGAACATTTAATGATCTATGTATGTTTTATTTAAAGCCAATAAAATTTAAAGAAGTAAGTAATAACAAATAGAATAGCTACATGTGAAATTAATTATACAGTCATATGTTTTTAAGTATACTGTGTAACCTTTCAAATCTTCAAGTAAATTATTTAAAGTCACTTATCATTGCATGATGCAATTGTGTCATTTTTTTAAACTTGTTTTCCCTGTTGTTGGAAATGAAAAGTGTCCGTCTTCAAAAAAACTAGCGAACTTTTCAACTTGCTTTTCTGCAGTTGGAAGTTACTACTAATTCTCCTGAAGTTGCTACAAAAAACTAGTGGATTATTTTAACTTGTTTTCCAACAGTTGGAACTAAATACTATTTCTCATTATGCTGCAAACTAAAGACTAGTGGGTTTATTGCATGCACCATAAAGTTTAGTTCAATGACAACACATTTGTGACAAAATACTTTAAATTTTAAATGTGTAACATTTGCATAGGAAAGGTTATTTGCTTTTTAATTTATTCAACATAATAGTTGGAGATATTGTTTTATACCCATCATTAAGTGGACAATGTATTTAGCAAAAAAAATGGTTAGGTAAGAATTGTGCATATCTATTAAGATTTTTTTACTGCTGCAGACAATTTAATTTTTGTTGATTCCTTTTTATTTTTTTATTAAATGTTTTACATATTAGTAATTATAAATAATTTAAAGGCATTGATGCTTAGCTTATAACCATATGAAGAACCTTAAAAGTTCCTTTCAATTTCTAACATCTCAGCGAGTATTGTCTGAGCTGTAGTGAGTCAAAAAGTCATACAACTCAAAAGATAAATGTGTTTCATGTTCAAGCATCAGTGCCTTTAAATGTTCAAATTAAATAAATGTAGAAATTTTGTTCTAAGAAATAAATTAGTAATTTCTAGCATGCATAGCTAGGGATATTTTACAGTAACCTCAAATAATATATATTTACCCTAAAAAAACTGATTCCCTGTACTGTAAGAAATCTCTAATTAGATGTTCTCTATGTACTTACATATAAATGTAGTTTGGGCAGTTCAGAAATCAAATAAAATTGAAAATAAATTTTCAGACAGCTGGTGTATTTTTTTTTTTTAAGAAGGGTGCTATAATCATAACTTTCTGACATTTACTTCCAGTGACTTGCTAATTTTAGGTTGAAAATATTGAGCAAGTACTGTCCTAATAAGGAAATGATATACTCTCAAATATGTCAATTTTGTATCTCCTGAAGCAAGTTAGTTATCCTTTGTACTTAGAATGAAAGGTTTTATATTTTGTGTACCTGAAAGATAAAGTAATGAACAGCCACAAAAATCTAAGAGTAACATGTAAACAGTTATTTGTTTAGCATTAGCCTAAAAAATTATTTGATACAATTTCATTCAGCTCTTTACTTCCCTAAAGTTGTTTGATGAGTAGGCTATTTCAATTAACACTTTCTAGTGAGTTTAAAAGAACAAAAATTAGAATATTTTTCATCTGTGGAGCATTTTCTCTGTCATGAATTATTTAACACATATTACTTAATATCTGAAAAACATATAGGTATGAGTAACTGATGTATTTTTAAATATTTCTTTCACAAGTTCTTTAGATGAAACGTTGGTTCACTTGTTTAACAGAATCGAGAATTAGCTGCAATTTGGCAGATTTACACAAGTTCTATTTTCCAATTAGCCATAAACCCAATTCATTCAAATCGAGTGAGACAAACTTTGGATGGGTGGGGATGCTGAGGTTGGAGAGAAAATACCAGTACTAGTAGACTCGATCCAAAATGATCTTGGGTGTTAAAATATATCACTATGTGAGGCTCCTTTTAACTGGCTGATTGACAGACAGCTGACAAACCATAAAATATCTTCCAAAACCAAAGGTATTTTGGAACTACGTTAGTTACTAAGTTATGAAATGTCACAGATTCCATAATTATTTTTTGTCTTATAAGGTATGTTATACATAGGAAGGGAAAACTGTGAGATTGGGGGATTCCAAACACCCAAGAAATTGGTCAACATCTGTGTAATTTTTGCCTACATTATTTTTTTTTCAGGAAAATGTAGTATCCATATTTGCTTTTTAGAAGACTCAATTTTTAAATGGTTGATCTGCCCAAGTGGAAACTTATTCACACAAGTATTGCCTTTTTTTTTTTTTCTATGAAATGACCAGTTTGTATGGTAACTAGTCTGTAGTTTTGGTCATTGGAGCATGAATTAAAGTGAAGAAAGTCCAGTATTTACTTATCACACTAGCATTAAATAATGTTAATAATTCGTGTTCCAAAATGGCCTGGAATGCACCAGAAAGCACATAAACCCTTCTGGGAAGGCCTCCTTAGACACCTGGCCTTCACAGGCTGGGACCCAGGGCCTGGCAAAAGTTTTATTTGTTGTTCTCATTCCTTATTTAATAATTTTAATGACTGTTACATAAAGATATGATTAGGTATGCTTATAATGTTTATGATTGCACCTTACATTTTAACAAAATAAAGTTAATCTTGCATATAGTAATGTCTGATTCAGTCACTGTTATATGCATAAATGCTACCACTTGAAGTTATGGTTATGTGTACTAACTATCTTTCCAATCACTGCTATGCAGCTAAACAAAATTATATATATATGTATGTAAGAGGTAAGCATTCATGACGTAGCTTCATATGCTACTACATAACTGTATAATATGCAATAAGTGAAGTTAATCCATACGTTTCTACAAATTTTAAGTAACAGTGCACTATATATGTAGTAGTTCCTAGAAAGAAGTTGTCATATGTCATCTAAAACCTTACATAGCAGTAATTAGGTGAACAACTGAATTGGAACAGGTATTAGTATATAAGTACAACAAAACGTTTTAAGAAGTACAGAAAGACATTAAAAAAAGTACAGAAAAGCTGTAATGACAAATTTGGAGAAGTACAAAAAGAGATCATTAGAGTGGTAAAGAACGTCAGTGATAGAATAAAACATCTGGAAAAAGATTTGGTAAATGCAGGGATTAAACCAACCAAACATCTTTCTGCATCTGCACAAGAAAAATCAAATGAAAACTGTAGTTACTATAAAATATGGAGTAAGAGAACCTATTTGGTTCTACACCTACTACCACTACTACTGTGTCATTTGTTACTGCAGGACCTTCCTTGACTACTCCAGCTATGTAACTATTAAATCCAGTTCCAGAAATCAGCAGGTCAGTTCACTAACATTGCCCAACCATGAAGTCAATGGACCATGATAGAAACGTACCGTCAGAGTTATATCAAGCTCAGTTCAAAATAATTTGCAGAGTGAACAACAACCTATTAATCTTGCTGTCCTTTAAAAGGGCCGATTTTAATTAATTTAAGTAGCCTTTCGGCCGAGAATCATAACAACTATCAAGTTGGTAGCTGCCTTATTTAATAGGTTTGGAGTGACACACCAGAAGGAGGTATTCAGAGCAAAGTTCCAAAACAGTGTACAGAGAGAAGAATAGGCCTTAACAGAATTTGCAGAAGATTTAGAAAGGCTTATAAAATTATATTATCCAGATACTCTTCATGAAATGATGGATTCATTGCATATGATCAGTTTATAGATTCCATAATAGTAGATGAGGATATGAGAATTAGGTTGAAGAAAAGTAGATGTACTTCTTTAAGGAAAGCTCTGCAATTAGTACCATAAACACTGGTGTGGATAAAGAATTCTGTGTTTCTACGTTTCTTTACTGTTTTTCTTTGTTGTTTCTATTCAATTTATTCTTTGTTTAACAATGTTGAACCGGCATTTTGAGTGTAGGTTAGACTTTTTGTCAGACATTAGTGTACCTGGATAGCACACCTGTGCTCTACACGCGGAAAATGCAAATATCACATATAATGACACTAGAAACTAAGGGAACTTGTAACTAAAATTAACAAACAATTTTTGAATTGACCATTGTGAATACTTTCCTTTCACAACTCTGTCTTATCTTTCTGGTATTTTCAGGTAATATTGATTTTCCTTAGAGGGATGGAATAGGCCTGCTGAATAATAGAATATTAGTCAAGATACTTATCTCAGAATAGTGCCTATTTTTATTGTTGTTTTTTGTATTTCTCATTAAATGCTTGTTTTGCGATGGATGTCGGTTTTACTTGATCACACTGACTTGGCTCAGATATTTATCAGACTATTTAAACCTAATTGTAATTAATTCAAGGATTGGTTGTTTGTTTTGAATTTCGCGCAAAGATCCACGATGGCTATCTGTGCTAGCCATCCCTAATTTAGCAGTGAAATACTAGAGGGAAGGCAGCTAGTCATCACCACCCACTGCCAACTCTTTGGTTCCTCTTTTACCAGTGAAAAAGGAGATTGACCCATCACATTATAATGCCCCACTGCCGAAAGGGTGAGCATGTTTGGTGTGACAGGGATTCGAATTTAAGGATAAAGTAATGAAGGATACTGCTGTTGATATCATTGCATAAAGCATTACAGCCAGGGACAGATTGAGAACTTTGGGTCACAGGATAAATTTTGTAGGGGGCCTACATATCTTATGAATACATCAAACACAATTCAGTACTATTTATTAACTACAGTTTGAGAAATACATAAACACAAAGGATAGGTAGAAAATATATAAAGCACCAATTCTAATATCAATAATTATAAAGTAATGTTGCTTTTTTTGTTGTTGTTATTAAATGAATAAGCAAATATTTATGAACTAAAAAATTTGTAAGAACATGTTAATGAAAAATTACAAACTAATAGTATCAGATATAAAAGACTGTTCAGTGTTGGTAATAATATTAATTTATTTATTTTGTGTTTGTAATTCACTGATGTCAAATGTTGGGTTTGCAATCCATTGATATCGAAGCTTTGGAGATTTCTAGAAGGCCTAAGTGATAGACGTATAAGTAGCTGTGACCAGACGAGTGGAAACAGAGTAAAAGTAAAGTCACATGAAAGAGAAGTTCGGTCACAGAAAAGTTAGAAGACATAAAGTTAACTGTTGTGGGAGTGAATGGCCTAACAGTTGGTATATTAGAGTGAGATTAACAGATTGAAAGAAATAAGGAGAATAATTTGTCTCATAAAGGGTGTTCTAAATTAACTGATCCCGTGGACTTTGACAAAAGGCAGACGATTATTGGAAGTTCAAGATACAACTGCGGTTTCTCACGCGACAGCATAAGTTAATTATACACGGATATTATTGCGATAAAAATAGAGGAAAATATTTCTGTTTTATGAACTGAATTTTATAGCAATTAAATTGGACTTTTGCAGAAAGAAGAAAACTGTATAGTGTTTAAGATACAGTTATGATCTCCATAGTGTAAGGAATTTTTGTATATACGTTTATTTTGTTTCGAATATATATATTATTTCAAAAACAAGTGGAGTGCGTGCTGTTCGTTTATTGTAGAATTTATCGCCAACTAGTCACAGACACCTACTGTAGAAGAATCCTTAGCCCAATATACCCATATATTTCCATTACTATATATACTACTAACAAATAGTTCCAGACAAATAGATTAAATTTATATGAAAGGACTAAAATCGTTGTTGTCATTGTGTACAGTTGCAAACTTATGTTTTTCCATGAAACAACTATTTTTTTTATTTTTCTCTTTGCCGGGGGCGGGGGCGGGAAATTGCACCCATTTCCACCCCATAATTACAGATAAACCTTGAATAAAGTGTTACCTCAAGATAATGACAAAAAAAAGACAGCTAGAACGAAAACAAGGCTTTCTTGATTACCTTATGAGAAAACTGTAGATAACAAGATAAAATGGCAAGCTTGAAATAAAGCTATATTAAAATATGAAAGGTAGAAAATGCATGGCATTGCTACATACCATATTTTCTAGATCTCTTATTTTCATCTTAGTTGCTTTGTTGATTGCATTTTATTGTTTGTTATTAAGCGAAAAGATACACCAAGGGCTATCTGTGCTGTGACTACCACGAGTATTGAAACCCTGTTTATAGTGTTATAAGCCTTCAGACTTACCTCTGGGCTACTGGGGGTATATTGTTGTTTGTATTTTTTTGTTCATTATTACTTAAATGTCCATGTGACATTGTATTGGTGATGGTATACTATCATGTATAAAAGAAAAAACATTGTGAAACTAGAGGGACAGTTAGTAGAACGCAGCATTGATTATAAAATACTGTTGCATCATCGAGGTCACGTGACTGGTGTGGCGCCCTCTAGTTTCTAGAACTATCTTGTTCCTTCATGAATGCTCTAGTATTTACTAGATAGGGTAGTCTGGTATATATAAGAGGGGGACAACGTGACGCGGGAAGGTAATGTAATGTGTGTGTAGATAGTGAGTAATTGAACTGCAGTCAGAAGTATTGTAGTCGTTCGTTGATATAGCGTTTGTTTTAGCGCGATTGTTGAAAATAAGTGTACCGTAAAGTTGTATTCGGAAAGAATAAACCAGTTTTATTAAGTAAGGACTTGTGTCGCTAAAGTTTCGTCGGAACGAAGTTACGGAAAGTTAGTTAACAAACGGAGACGTAACAATACTGTTACAGCGGAGTCACGTGACGAGTATTCTAGAAGATTCGCGATAAACGCTAGTGTGTTACGACAGCGGAAGTCAAGTGACGCTGGTAGCACGTGATGAGACCTAGAAGATTCTAGAACAGGCTACATGGCCGGTATTATCGTATATAAGTGCGCTAGACAAAGGAGACGGCGGAGAGAGAGAGAGAGTGGGGAACCGAGGATAGCAGATACAGAGATCGGAACTATAGTTGCTGACAGGCGGAGATAGAGACGGACAATTGAGTCAAGCGCGGTAGAAAGTGAGTGAATTGTTGTGAACTATTGTGTGTGTAACTGTTAAAATTAAGTGTATTGCAAAGCTGTATTGAGGAAGAATAAACAAGTTTTATTTAAGAGAGGACTTGTATCGCAGAAAAATTAACAAACAAACATACAGAGACGTAACAATACGACAGTGTGTTCGTATGTCAGTTATTTTCAACGGACACAAACCATTTTTCTCAGGACAATGAGGAATAATATTTTACATTTGTCCACCAAGTTTCATCAAAATCCGATCACTTTTGACTGAGTTATAGAGCGGTCTCCATGTTAACAGATAGAGATTTTTTATTTTATTTTCATGACCTTGGCTTTAACCTTGACCCTCCAAGAACTAATTTTTTTGAAGTTGGATCATAGTCCAAAGCATATCAACTTTCGTCCAAATCCCTTCAACCATTTTCGAGAAAACTTGCCGAAAAACACACACACACACACACAGGCGTGAAACACAACCTCCATACGCTTTCGGTAGCAGAGGTAACCAGAAGCTAATTAGTAACTTTCTTCATGCTTTTCAGTAGGACATTCAAGCTGTACTAAAGACTATCTGACGGTGAAAGGCCTTGAACCTACAAATCGTTCTTGGTGGGCGTCTGACTCGCGATTTGCGGGTCGCGGATTTGAATCATATTTCTGAACATACTAGTTCTTTCAGCTGTGAAGGGCGTTATAAAGTGACCAAACCAAATATATTGGTAGGTATTTCGGTTTGAAGTCTCCCGGAATTTACTAGAAGCTATGGAAGAAAATTTATAAATTATAATGTGACTCTCTAGTCTATCACTTTTAAACTAGGGACAGCTAGCACAGATAGCCCTCGAGCAGCTTTGCTGGAAATTCAAAGACCAACAAATCACCAAAATTAACTTCTTTTTTTTCTGTTTGCAGTGAATAACATTCACCGATTGAATAACAGTTTTACGCCTTCTTCAAATTTGTAGCACTAACTCAACATTAAATGAGAAATAACACTAATAGAAATATAGCTGTGCAATAATATGTAGGAAATTTAATACCAAAAGACACATAATAAAAACCAGTACACACGGGTCTTCGATCTATAATATGTAAATAGCCTTATAAAATATTTAATCTTTTTTTAGGGGAGGGGTTCAAAAATTCACCCCCTTCCCGATGGCCCAGCGGGAAGTCTGGTGGCTTGTAACACTAATACCCAGGTTTCGATACTCATAGTGAGATGTGCTTTGCCCACCAAAGATATCGAAACCCAACTTCTAGCATTGTAAGTCCTCAGACAAACAGATGTGCCACTGGGGTCTTATTTTTTTCAGCACAAAGCTACACAGTGGGCTATCTATGCTGTGATAGTCCATTGTGTAGCTTTGTGCTTAATTAAAGACAAACAATATCTAAACCAAATTGTCTTTCACGTCTTAGGCTGCCGATTTTTTTTTGTCACATTAAAAAAAAATATGATGAAACTTATATTTCGTGATTATGGTTTTTTTTTTTTTTTACTTATTGCAATTACATTTATTTTAAGATCAGCATATTTTATTTTTGTAATAATTTCCTACATTACCGATAAACTATTTTAACAGCAAATCAATAAGATGTATAGTCGGGGTAGAGTTAATGCAGTAGATTAATTTCGGCTGGTTAATCGAATGAATATACGAAATTTATGATTTTGAACGTTAATTATTTCATTATCGTGTTTCATAAATTTGTCAGCAATTTAAATTTGTATTTTAGAACTCTTTGTCACAATAGATTTAAAACAAAATTAGTGTGTCAAATGTTATCAAAGTTAAATTTATGTCTTATTTGAAATTGAAGTCTGCAATAAATTCTTAACGTCTGCTGTTATCAAATTTTTGTAGTTTGATAAGCGAAAATAGGCATGCAATAAGTCTGCAATCTAAATAATATAAAAACTTAACACATTTTGTGTTTTTTTTTTTTTTGTTATTCTTTGTACATTTGTTTGTTTAATTTTGTTGTGAATAACATTTGACTCATTTTATTTTTAGGCGTAGTCTTATTTTTATATTTTCCAGAAAACTTACACTTTAACTTTTAAGTTCGAATTATTATCATATTCAGTTAAGAATTACATATAAGCACTGGATAAATCTAATTTTTGTAATTTTAATGATTGACCAGCATAGATATCAGAGTTCAAGGTTAAGCCATGGTTTCTTGGTTCAGGATAAGAAAATGTTCTGACCAGGTCTTGAAGCTATGATTGTCTGCTTAAACAGTTTTCTTATTCTTAAGGCCGGTGCTCTACAAGTTGTGTTACAGAACTTCAAGTACCATGAAAACATATCCCCATCTTGTTTATTACAATATTATATTAATTCATATATAATAATTGATCAGTTGATGTATTTTTGGTAATTAAATATAATTCCAAGTGTTATCAAAACGTTATTTAATTGTTTGGCTAATGAAATATTTTAATCACTGCTTACCAAAATGCAATTCCAGTTTAATTATTTGTATATGTAAAATCCAGAAGAAGAAGAAACTTGATAAAGTGTTTCCCCCTTTACATTTTAGTCATAGAGTGTGATAATATTATAAAAAGAAAACATTGTTTTATATCTTTTTATTCTTATTTTATACTTATAGGAGAGGAGAATATAATAAAGGTTATTGAATTTGTTGAGAACAATGAAGAAAGCAAAACCATTTCCTGCACCATTTGTTCAGCTACTTAGAAGGTAAATGGATAACCTCATGTTGGAAAAATTGATTGTCTGTGACAATAACATGAATATTGAGATTATGTATTGGCACTTCATATGTGTATGTGTTGGCTTGTATCTAGTTACTGATATAAACTTGGCCCCTGTCATAATTGCACTGATATGGTTACTTATATATAACTGCCAATGTTATTGTACTGTATATGTACATCTTATAATAATGTAAAAGCCTTCACCATGTTTGAAAAAATGGTATGCAGAAAATAGTTTCCAATTTTTCCAACTTGTTAATTATTAGTTACTTCTGATAAAAAGTTAGACAACCAGATCAGAAACTAAAATTTGTATATAGGATATGCTACTAAGTGAAATGTGACCAGATATCCTTGTATCACCCAGTTTTTTGTGTGCACAATTTTAATTAGATCTTTTAACATTTAGACAAAAAACAAACTCCTTTGTTGTTTATTGGGACTTTTGAGTTGCTGCTAAGTGGCTTAGGAACAGTCCCTGCGGCTGAAGCAGCATTTTAGGACCCATTTCTGAAGTGAGCTTAGTTTGTTTTGGACTCTTTATTTAATATATATTAACTGTGATAGATCTAGTTCCATGAAGAACTACAGTGAGAATAACCTAGTGGCTCTCATAACTGACATTCAAAATATTTGGTTTGAACAGAAATTTGTAAAATTTTTAAAACCTTTTTTTTTGGAGTGTTGGAGATCAAGGAAAGAGGCAATCCAACAACAGTAGTCAAGAGAGAGAAGTTTGTTTTATGAATGACTCCTCAGATCAGACTTTCACCATCACTGAATTAAACATTTTAAGAGAGAAAAGAGAGAGAGACCTTATTTGTTAATAATTTTGCAAGCTAGGTCAACAAAATTGCAAATATTATTATAAATATATGATAGTATTTTTGTTCTTAAAACAGTTGTCTTTTTTTCCTTTAAGTTAACAAGCATAGCTTATACTTTTGCTAATAACCTTTAAAGATAATGGCAGATTTGCCAGTGGCCAAAAATGTTTGCAGTGGCTAAATACCCAGCAGCCAAGAATGATCTTTCAAATACTAAATACTCAGCAGTCCAAAAATTTTAATATTGATGAGCTACAACAACAATAAAAATAATGATAATAATACTAATGATAATTTCCAAAAAATTATATTATCACATATTATATAAATTATCATATTGGATGCTTATCAGTATTCGTGATTGTGAAATTATGTACTGTTGGGTACCTAATATTTTGAGGATTGCTCTCGGCATCTTGTAGTAAACATACACGCTGATCAGTACTAAACAAGAATGATGATTGATATTTATTTTCCCAGTGCAAAAGTTTTATTCAGATCATTTCATTGAGCTTGAAGACAAATTAGTCTCATAGTTTACTATTACTCACTCTCTAAGTCAAGTGAGAGGTGATAATAGCTCATCAATATTCAATTTTTTTGACTGCCAGGTATTTATTATTTGAAGGATCATTCCTAGCTGCTGGGTATCTAGCTACAGGTAAAAAAAGTTACCTTCAAGCCCTACTTTTCTATCTATTGACAACCAACTCAGTCAACCTAGAATTATTTTATACTTCTCTTCAAATTCTTTAAATTGTTGGTTGATTTATAATGAACTGATAAAATTCCAACTTTTCTAACAAGAATATCCAGAATAAAATCCTGTCCACTACACACAGTCTTTCTCAGAACTTCCTTGAAGATGACAGCATATTAGCATCTGAAAAATAGGATGGAAGCTAATTAGTAATTATTATTAATTGGGAAAAAAAATTAATAATTAAAATTAAGTTATCCTGTAGGTTACCAACCAGGAAAATGATTTATTGTAGACAATTGTGACTGGATAGCAAACAGAATGATATTCAAAGAGCTAATGCTAGCAGTAGGCCTTATGATATCACTGCTATCAAAAAATTTTTCAATTTACTTTTGGCAAATAAAATTTCTGTTCTTCCTCTTTTATTAACTCAGTCTTTACAAAACATCTTAAAATCTTCTAAACTACCTTCTTTCTAATATTTATATAACCAAGATTCAGTAATACCAATGGCGTTAACATGCTAACTACCAACAACTTTTCTAATTCAAGCAACCTATTAAAAAGATTTCTAGTATTAGTAAAAAAAAACAATTTACTATTAGCAATTTTATCAGTATTTCCAATCAACTCTTTTACCTCATAGCTCCTAAAGTCCGTGGCTTGATCTGTCTAGGTGAAAATAATTTTGTCATCGCTATTCAAACATGTGTTAAACAATCCCTAATAATTAATTCCATTTAGAGTGTTCCAAAACAACTAATTTCTTAGTTGCTTAAATGCAGCTTCTTTTTTACCTACTCTTAAAGCAGAAAAAGGAGAATGAGTTTGACATAATATACTACAGGAAGAATCTGTAATAAGATGAAAGTTAGAGAATACATATAACTTGATCATTAAATTGTTTCTCAAATTTAATTTAACAAAAAATGAATTTATGAGTTTTTTACATAGTTAGGTGTTGCAAGTTATATAATATTACTCACAGGATTGTTTAAGTGAATTGTTCAAAACCTTAATGGAATAACATAGTGCACATTGGTATATTTGTACAATATAATTATTTTTAATGGTGAACTTTTACATATTGAAATAATTGTGTTATAGGTGTTTAAAGATTTAAATGGAAAATTGGAAATTATAATCACATGTACTGTAACTGGTGCTGTGTGAATTTGGTTCATTATGATATTTAAATTGGTGATTTGGTCTTGTTATATAACATTTTATATGAAATTAAACCTAGATTATCAGTGATTATTTAGGCTACAAGTTCATTGTAAAACTGAAGTAAAAAAACTGCATTCATATATGTTATGGCATGGAGATTTACAAATTGGTGGCAGAAAATACGAGTCATCCATACATAAAAAAAGTAGAACTGAGTGATTAATGGAGCTTGCTAAGTGATTAATTGCTGAGCTCAGTAATTAATTAATTCAATTATTTTATTATTCTAAGGAAATTTCTAAAAGACAAACACTAACCATTACTCTATAATTCTTCTCCAGCAAGCTGGCTAAAAAACTTGTAAAGAACTGATTTTGATACCTGTGATGGGCAAAGCACAGGTAACCAATTAGCTAATTTTGTAACATCATGTATGACAGTAAACAAACATAATAACAATATTTTGATTACTTTGATAGTTGGAATAATTATAAATAGTAATAATTGGGAAATCTTTATTTCAGTTACTTGATTATTTTCATGAGTTGTGACACTAATTGGTTAAGTTGAACAAACATGAATTAGTTGAAAATAATAATAATGAAAAATCATGTTTGTTCAAGATAACCAGTTATTGTTTATTTTAATGAAATTAATTACAATTTTCTTTACTGGATGGTTGGAATAATTGGAAACACTGACTTTAATTAGTTGATTATTTTTGTGACATTAACCAGTGTAGTTATAATTTCAATTACTTTATAGTTCAGTAATTGAAAACAGTAATATTTGGAAACACTGGCTATTATTTTCATTACAGTAATCGATTTAATTGTAATTTCAGTAATCAGTGTTCGCAGATGATCAAGTTAATCACCAAATTCAGCATAAGAGAACTCACTACGTTTGTAATTACATATCTTCACCTTAGGACTAAGCTACACTCACTAAGTGCATATTAAAAAGAACTTTCTTCATCATATTTTGAATTACAAAGAAAAGTTTAAAATTAACTTCATTTGAAGTGGGTGGAACAGGCTGTAGATTCCATTGAGATTAAATCACTGTGGTGATTTAGATAGGTGCATTATAACTAAGTTTATCATGTATCATAATTATAATATTACTAAAATTGCATATTAGTTCTATTTCCTAGAATGTTTTCGTTACTTATAACTTTTTAATTAAAACTACGCTAACTATAGATCGGAACTAAAACATGAAATAATGAAATGAATGACATTTCTTGTGTTACAGTTTTTGTCTTTGAATTTTCTGGCAGACACATTATTTTAACATTCACTAATCATTTATATGTTAAATAATGTGTTATACATCATACACAAAAGTTTCATTTTGGTAGAAATGTGATTGATTGATAGCAATTTTTACCATGTGTTGAAACACGTGGTTATCATAATTATGTAGACATAATCTTTATTGCTTTTGTCTTAGTGAGATAATGAATCATTTAAGTTATTATGTAATTGCTATTAAGCAATTTTCTTTAAGTTTTGACCATAAACTACACTTCGAAGTAAATTCTTTATTTATTGAGTAGTCTTACATCAAGTTTTTAATTTTTTTAACTGATATCTTGCAGTCATTGGCATTTGGTACATGCAACATTGTGATCTATTGTTTATTTATCAGGCCATTCACTGGTTTCTCTCCAACAATCCCCAGTAAACAAACACAAGCTACATCAACTGAAGGAACTTTTTCAAATAATGTAAGTAAAACATGATTGTTGTAAATAAGGTTAAATGATTAGCAGTTGGTTTTAATTTATATTAATTAGATTTATCCATGGGCAAGTAACATCATCAACCAGTGATCAACTATTATTTCATCTAAAATAGTATTATGTAGCTAATATAGTAGTTTTTTATTAAAAGAGGTTTCTCCCTTGGTTATTCTCTGGCAGTTAAGTGAAGAATCCTCAGAAGACATTTGTGGTGGAGATAGGTTTAGTTACATTTACTTTAGACTCAAGGTATTTTTGTTTAAGATTCATGCACTAAAGCCTTTTTATAAGTTATAAAACTCAAAATATTTTAACATGTTGTAATGGTCAGGATTGGGGTTATTTACTTAAACCTTGAGTACTGGTTACTCATTTGGTTGAACCTTGTCTAAGAGTCTTGAGTTCAAGCCCTAATCAAGCAGAATTTTTCATATCCTAGTCTTCTATTGGCATCTTTCTATGTTCATCCCACCTCTGAGAGTCAATTTAGCTTAATAGATTCCATTTGTGATTAGTCTGGAATACTGTGTGTGTGTGTCATTGTGCTGTTGGCTGGAAGAGAACTGGAATATGTTGTGTTGTAGATGTAGGTTTGGGTTTGAGCCTTGTTTGAATGTATGTTTAATAATGTAATAGTTTGTATGGGGTATCTGCTTGGGAGTGGAGTGTTCTGATGTATCAGAGGAAGAGCAACAGCTTCAAACATTGATATCATCCATGGATCTTGGGTTCAAACCTTGCTCAGAGCATTATTTTTTTAATATCCTGATTCATCATAATGTCTTTTTTTGCAGGGTATTTGTTACTGCATAGTTTGAACATACATTTGTGTTTGAACCATTACAGGTAATATTTAAGTGTATAAGATAAATACAAGTTAAGAAGTAATTGTAATAATACAGTTTCTTAGGGTAACAGTCACTGCTTATTTTTTTGTCTTTTAGCTGTTTGGTGTAGTATTTTTCTGATGTTTTCATTTTCAGCTACTTATATCTGTTTATTTTGATAATATGATTTATTCATGTTTTGTTGGTCAGTTTTTCAAAGTTAAATAAGCCCTTCATACATCGCTTGGTTCTGTATGTTTTAGAACAAACTGTCTTAACATTTAAGAATATCTTACCTTGCTACCTTTTCTATAGGTCAAAAGATGTATTCAAAGTTATGAGGGGAAAGTAAAATTATTAGATGATTTTAATGTAATATTTAGTTTTCTGTCATCACCTGCAACAGGGGTTGTAGACTTCTTAGCTTAAGGCACCCCAAAACTGTAGACATCCTGGCTAAGGACCCTCCACTTAATGATTCAAGAGAAATTTCAAATCATGTTGATTTAACTCTGAAAAAAATGAAAGCCTTTTCATGTTAAGTCATTTTCACTGTCAACAACTGCATGACTTTTGTTTCTGAATGTCTTTATTGCAATATATTACACATGTCACTTTACCTTTCTCTACTGTTCCACCTTCCACATAACTTACTGCCCGAGCACCAGGAGAGCTACATAAGCTCTGTTTTCTTGCCACAAGCCAGATTTTCTTATTGACAGTTATGCTGTAAATGTCATATCTTCATTTACTCTGGTTATTTTAACACTAAAGTTAGTATAGAAAATTCTACAATTCCTTTCAATGTTTTGGAGGCCTTGTTCACACAGACTTTTTTTAGTGTACATAAAGATTCCTTTCACATCAGTTGTGTTGCTGTCTAAGCTCATTTGTTCATTTTTGGGACCCTTGGGTTTGACAGGTTTTTCAGTCTGGTCTTTTCCATTTTCATCAACTCCCTTCTCTTTCTTCTCACCCTGATTCTTTTTCTGGGTCTTTCTGATCTAGTTTGGATATAAGTTTTGGATCAGAAAGTATTAGATCTCGTATGAAAACAAGCTGTTGAAATTGTTCACCACATGTCACCACATTTTTCCTCTTATCTTTTTGTAGTTCTAAAGAAAATGGGAGACTGGAGATAGACCTATGATAGACCAGTCTCATCTCAATCAGTTTTTGGAGATCACCCATTTCAAAATGGAAAATATGAGAATGTTGTATTTTTACCAAAAATAGATGGTTATTAGTTCACTGCCTTTCCAGTTGGTTTATCTTGGGCTCCCTATGTTTTCTGTCGAGTAGTTAAGGCTGTAGCTGAGAATCTCCATTTACTGAACATCAACTTTTACTTTTATTTGGATAATTGGCTTTTATCTTGCTGTATCATCCACTCAATTGACTACTTTTGTTGCATCTCTTGGAAGGATCAACCACAACACACAATTTCATTTACTACCAACTAAATATTTGACCCACCTGGGATTTTGAATCAACAAAATTCAGGTGATTTTTCAGCATCTGATATGGCACTTCAAGCTTTGAAGTTTTTTATGTGCAAACTTCTGTCGTCTACACCTACTGCCAAATACTTTTTCTGCTTTGGGGATGATGGCTTTATATAACAAAGTTATTCCTCTGTGTCTTGATCATTCACATGCTGTACCTTCAGTGGCATTTCAACACAAATCTCTTGTGTCACATCTGCTTATTCAAACAATGGGTGGTTCATCAATTCATCATACCATTCTAGAGTTACTACATCTTTTACACTACCATACTATGTCAGTTTATACAGCTGATTCCACAGTGGTGGTGTTCATCAACAATTTTGGAGTTACTCTATCTTTGAACTATTGATTGTTGCTGTTTCCCTTCTTTTCCAGCTTCATTCTCAGCATGTGGTTAACATTTTAGCAGATTATCTTTTACAAGGTCATCAGCTTCTTCCCACAGACTAAACTCTGCATCTTTTAGTTTTTCAATGGTTATGCAAATGTTTGGGTCATCCATTGATTGATACCTTCACAATGGTGGACAACCATCTTCTTCCGCTCAACTTGACTCCAGTCCCAGTTCTAGCTTCACTGGTAGTGGATTCTTTAAGTCAAGTTAGAAGAATTTCTTATTTTATGCCTACCCTTCTTTCAACCTTTTCCCACTAGTAGAAGCCAAGATCAACTCCATAAAGTGTTGAGTTTTTATTGCTCCACTTTGGTTGTCCTTGTTGTCAACCCCATCCTGGGGTACTGACCCCATTACCACCATGGGACACATCATCTACATCACCTTCGAATGGCTAGTTTTTGTTTGCTCCTTTATTAGAAAACTTGGTCTCTTTCTGGGTGGCTTGATTGTTAGCTCATTCTTGCCAGCACTGGTCGTTTGCTGTCTGTCAATTTCATTGGGCTAACTTCTGGAGTTGATACATTCAACATGTTGTCTGTTTCTATCTCCTTTTCATATTACTTCCTTTTTTATGTATTTGTTTTATGATTGTGTTTTATCAGTTTTTTTCTGTAGCAGGCTACAAGGCTGTTATATCTGCCACCAACTTTTGATGCCATGGGAGCCATTAGTTTCTTTTGTCTCCATTATTTATGGCCCTGTTCCAAGCGTCTTGTCTAAAACTTTCCTGAGTTCCTAGACATTGTCTAAAGTGGGACTTTGGTTTAGTCTTAAGTTTTTTAGTTTTCCTTTGTTTTAACTCTTAGTGACCTTTTTGCATTATCATCTTTCCCCCAAGAAGTATTTTTTTACTTAGGAGATATTCAGATGTATATGCTCTGAATGCATCACATGCCTAAGACATCGGAGGATAACTACTGTTTTTCACCTGTTGTGTTATGGTTCTCTCCTCTCAATTCTTCCAGACAAATCCAGTCCAATGCCCATCAGTCTGGTTCTGGATTATGCTCAAATTCTGCTTGATCTTGTTGTGACCTAGAGATGTTATCCACCCTGTCCAAGAGCTCCAAATATGTAGATATGGTTTTCTTTTACTATAACACTCTTTGGTTCCATATTCGATTTCAATGTGAATATTCTGGCTTTCAGTATTTCAGATGTAAATTGATGTGGCTTGAATTTTACATTCTTATTAAAATTAAAATATGAAATTCCAAAATGGTCTTACCTTCTCTCACCCAAAGCTATCTTGATCCTGGACTGCTTTCTAAGCATTGCTAAAAGGGCACCAGTCTTTTATACCTCATCAGTTTCATGCTATTTAAGAACATTTGCTGATCATGTAAGTACCCTCCACAAATCATATTGCACTCTCTATACTAGTGCAGCTAGCTCCCTCTACTATTGGCCTGGCATGGCCAGGTGCTTAACTTGCAACCTGAGGGTATCATAGTTCACACTAACACTTGAGTCCTGGAACCTAACCACTTAGAAAATATGGGATGCCCTTGTATTTTTACATAAAACATAACAACATCAGAAGTTTTAATTTTCTCATTTATTATGCTCTGATTTTTACACAAAACATAACAACATCTGAAGTTTTAATTTTCTCATTTATTATGCTCTGATTTTTACACAAAACATAACAACATCTGAAGTTTTAGTTTTCCTACTTATTACTTATTTGCTTACTGCATTTGAGCATTTTATACATTGCAGTCATTTGCTCATGATGTTTTCACTGCTTTTCCCACCATGAAGTGCTCCTCATCGGTAAGTACATGGGTTTGAAGATAGGAGATGCTACATCCATGTCAAACTGTCACATGGTGAATTCTGTCAAAGAGGACAGAACCTTTGCGCCTGCAATATCATAGGAGACAGTGCGGATATCGTGGTGTCAAATTGAAGGAAAATACAGAAAAAAAAATTCTTGAAAGCAACAAGATGGTTAATAGGATTGAAAGAGCAGCATGAAGGTTATTTTAGTCTGTTTGTTCACAATGTTAAAATTTGTGCTCTGATTGTATAGAACCTATTACATAAATGCAACAAAATAATAAAAATGCTGTCCAGATTCTTCTATTTGAAGAAAGTTACCTTATTTTTTACAGATTAGATTTATAATTTTACAAAGTTACATAAAATATAGCTAAATATTTTTCTAAGTAATCCAGTTACTTTTAGTTTTTCTATTTAGGTCAATTGTCAGTGTTATCTGATGTCTTAAAAAAGGTTCTTTGTATCTTCACATACATCTCAGGGGCAAGGCTAATTTTTCATTTCACTCTGAAGTTGATAGCTTACTCCGATTGGAAGTTGTTATTACTTATGCAATATATCTGTGCACCTTAAGTCACATAAAGTATATACGTGAATAAGAAATTATTAAGAATATCTACATTGCTAAAATATGTAGGTTTTGTAATTTTTATTTTCAGGTGAAATATAACTTACAGTTGAGTGTCACTCAAAACAATACAGATGACAGTCAGTTCACAACAATTTCAGATAACGGTATGATAAGTATATGTATATATATGTATTTAGTCTGTTGATTTATGTCCATTTAAAAATATTAATGTAAAAAGCTCATATAACTGCAATAATTTGCCGCCAAAAATAAAAACAGTTTTCTAATTCCTTTGTAATGCTAAATTAAACTCTTAATAGTAAATAAGACTTAAGTTTAAACTTACTCAAGTTATTCAGGTACACTGCAGGATCTGAATGAGACTCAAGCCATATTTCAGCTTTTGACAACATAGTCTTTCAGATGTGAATAATGTAGATAAAGATAAGCATAGTATTCAATCAATGAATGGAAGTTTTTCTGATGTAGAGCATTGGTATAGGTTATATTGTAACTGTTAAAGTGGGACTTATCTGTTTAAAACTTGAATTTTGATAGCTCAGTTTTTAAGAGCAACAGTTTCAGAGTACTAGAGTATGACATAATTCTTATGTTCAAGTCCTGGTCACATCAGATGTTTTAATATCTTCAATCATTATTAAGGTTGTTTTTTACATGAGACAGAGGGAGCTTCTCCCTAGATTTGTCATATATTTGATGGTTTCATATATTTGATGGTTTCATTTCTAGATACATTTTGGTGTGAAGAAGCTAGGTGCCTTTAAAACTAATATTTTAGACATACTTGTAAGCAAAGCTTGTAGAATATAATCGTACCATGCTTATAGACATTGTGCCCCATGCCATGTCACTCACTAAATTCTTTCTCTCTCCTCCCATTAGCCCCCCAGTGGCACAGTGGTATGTCTGCGGACTTACAACGCTAGAAACTGGGTTTCGATACCTGTGGTGGGCAGAGCACAGATAGCCCTTTGTGTAGCTTTGTGCTTAATAACAAACAACAACAACAATCCTCCCATTAAAATAAATATTCTGTAAGAAAGCACATGTATTATGATTTGGAATTAGACAAAATAGTTAATTTTATTAAAATGACTATAATCAGCTATCCTTGTTTTGATACTTTCATTTTATTAAATAGTATTGTTAACTTTTGCTTAAATTTACTTATTTCTTTTCATCCATATATATTTTGTATAATTTTTTCTTTCTCAATGTTAAAACTTGTGACTTTCTTCCTTGAGGTGACTGTAACCCTGGTAATGTCTTTTTAGGTTTTAGAGTTTAATGTATTGGCTGAGGTAGGCACACATTTGGTGGCATCTCCTGGTTCTAATGAGACATCTTCAACATGACACCTCAGAAGCTCCTGATGTCTTGATTTCCACCTCATTTTCTGCTTCACTGTCAAAAATGATGCAGTGATTGGCTGTGGCTGAGCCTTTTGCAGGTTCGGCTAGGCCACCATTGTGATGGTAGTGGTCGGTGACAGTTTTCCCAAGGTTGTGTTCACTTTATCCAGTGAGGGCTTGGGTTCTAATAGAGGGTTAGTGACTAACTATGGTGGACTTCAAGGCTAACTTTATGATCGATTCAGTGAGATCTCATACATCAAATGTATCAGCCAACAACACATTTTCATTGATGAGTTCAGGCCAGCTCCAGGTATCATAGAGTCAGTAGTGAAGTCCATCTCCTCATCAAACATGAAAGTCTAAATATATTGATGTTCATTGTATTTTCCTTCAATT